AATAATATTTTCTCTTAGCTTTGATTCAGAAGCCTGTCGGGGCAAAGGACTCTGATGGAGTGTCCTTTCCTGAAGAGCCAAAGAGAGCTGAACAATAGCTAACCTAACAAATACATTTCCCAGAGTGACGTATGTCCTCAAAATGGATGAAGAAATAAATGGGAGCTCTGTCAACAATGCAAATGTTTTTTGATTCTCATTTCACAGGATACATCTATTATAGAGGAGCTGTGCTGGGAAGCAACCTGTGGAAAGTGTTTAGCGGGCTGAATCTGAAAAACATTGACTAATAATCTCAAAGAACATTATGTGCCATTAATCATGATGATGGCTTTAAAAAGGTACCAGAGGGGCGCCTGGGCGGCTCAGTTGGTTAAGCCTCTGCCTTTCGCTCGGGTCATGATCTCAGGGTCCTGAGATCGAGCCCCAAGTGGAGCTTCTTACTCAGCCGGGAGTCTGCTTCTCCCTCTCCCACACCCCCACCCCCGTCCCGCCCATGCTCTCTCTAATAAATAAAATCTTTTTAAAAAAATATATATTTTATTTATTTATTCAACAGAGAGATAGCGAGAGCAGGAACACAAGCAGGCGGCGTGGGAGAGGGAGAAGCAGGCTTCCCGCCGAGCAGGGAGCCTGATGTGTGACTCAATCCCAGGACCCTGGGATCATGACCTGAGCCGAAGGCAGACGCTTAACGACTGAGCCACTCAGGCACCCTAAATAAATAAAATCTTAAAATAAAAACGTACCAGAATATGGTGGTAGAATGTTATCTACTGCATATCCCTTTTGTCAAAATAATATTATGTGTTGGGCGCCTGGGTGGCTCAGTCGTTAAGCGTCTGCCTTCGGCTCAGGTCATGATCCCAGGGTCCTGGGATCAAGTCCCACATTGGGCTCCCTGCTCGGCAGGAAGCCTGCTTCTCGCTCTCCCACTCCCCCTGCTTGTGTTCCTGCTCTCGCTGTCTCTCTCTGTGTCAAATAAATAAATAAAATCTTTAAAAAATAATAATAATAATATTATGTGTAAAAATAGCTATTTGCCCTGTTATTGTGAGTAAATAGGCACAAGAAGGAGGAACAATTGGGACACCTGGATCACTGATAAAGGACAAGCACTAGGTATAACTCGGTGGGTCCACATTCCTGAGAATTCTGAAATCTGTTTGGTTATGGGAAGTGCTATGAAACACTCAAACCAAAGTCTATTAGGAGTGACTACTACTCATGTGATCTAAGCCTGGGGGAATTAACATTTTTGAAGTACCAAATGTATTTCCTAATTGTACAAAGGCAGTTAGTACTCAATGACATGTCTGCTGTTGGCCCATTTGAAATAAGAGAGCTTTAGTGGAATTAGGAGCTGCTTAGGAGTATTTGGTCAGGCAGATTTGTTGTTGTTTTTTTTTTTTAAAGATTTATTTATTTTGAGAGAGAGAGCGCAGGAGTGCACAGGGCAGGGGGGAAGCGGCAGCAGAAGGAGAGAATCCCTCAAGCAGACTCCCCATGGAGCACAGAGCTTGATCCAACGACCCATGAGATCAGGACCCTAGCTGAAACCAAGAGTCAGATGCTCAAAGGACTGCGCCACCCAGGCACCCAGGAATATTTGTTTTTGTTTTTTTTAAAGATTTTATTTATTTATTTGAGAGAGTGAGCGTGAGTGGGGAGAGGGGCAGAGAGAGAGGGAGAAGCAGGCTCTCTACTGAGCAGGGACCCCGATGCTGGGCTGGATCCCAGGACCCCGGGATCATGACCTGAGCTGGAGGCAGAGGCTTAACCAACTGAGCCACCCGGGTGCCCTGGCATATTTGTTTTTAATGAGGAAAGACATACTGCTGAAAAAGACCTACTAAGGGGCACTGGGGTGGCTCAGTTGGTTAAGCATCCAAGTCTTGATTTCAGCTCAGCTCATGTTATCAGGGTTGTGAGATCACGCCCTAGTACTGGACAGATAATACTGATGTTAATGATCAAATATAGAGTGCTTCCTGTAGTGGATTAATGGGTTCTGCTACAGGTTTCTTCTTACTGGAAACCAGTATCTGTCAAACTATGTAACTTGGTTATGTTCTCAAGATGTTTTGAATCCTAAAAAAACAGAGATATGGCCTCTGATCTATATTCGTATGAGAAATAATATATTGTACATAAGAAAAGATAGATTGTAGGGGCGTCTGGCTGGCTTAGTCAGTGGAGCCTGCGGCTCTTGGTCTCAGGGTTTTGAGCTCGAGTCCCACGTTGGGTGTAGATATTACTTAAAAAGAAAAGAAAAGAAAAGGTAGATTGTGTTGGAGAGGACAAAATAATTACACCATGATGGGGCATGGTAAGCTGATGGTGGCTCGGTAACCTGAGCATTTGACTTCAGATCAGGTCGTGGTCTCGGGGTCCTGGGATTGAGCCCAGCATTTGGCTCTGTTCAGCGGGGGTCTGCTTCTCCCCCTCTCTCTGTCCCCCCATCCAGCTCATGCTCTCTCTCTCAAATAAATAAAGAAAATCTTAAAAAAAAAATTACATGAAGATTTTTTTTTGAAAGAGTGTGTGTGTGCATTCACACAAGAGGGGGAGAGAAGGGGCAGAGGAGAGAGAGAAAACCTTAAGCACACCTCAATCTCACAACCCTAAGATCATGACCTGAGCTGAAACCAAGTGTCAGATGCTTAACCGACTAAGCCACCCAGGTGCCCCTATACCAAAATTTTCTGATTTATACTGTAACTACAATGGTATTGCTATATATGGTATAACATAGGAGGCATAAAGAAATTAATATTGTAGATACTAATACTGAAATTAACGATCAAATATAGTGGGAGACTGAATTAAAGCTATCTCAGGACATTATCCCTATGGAGGAGAACTGGTCTGAGAAATATTTAGAGTTGATTAATGATAGATTAATAATTCAGCAGATGTATACCATAAGGAGCAGACACTTATAGATCCAAGAAGCGAAAGAACTGTATAGTTACAAAAACATGGGAAAGTATAAATGGATGTTTAGCTATCTGTTTAAATCCATACCAACCCCACACTGGATACTGTAAATGTTTGGATTCTGCATGTACATTTTTATTTTCTTATATGATTATGAGATATTGCAAGGCAAGTAAATGATATCACACTAAGGATTACCGTTTTATTAGAAATAAGACTTGACAATGGGTTATGGGGGTGGACTGCTCTGTGTGGGTTAATTCCTGAAATTAGCTTGAGCTGTTTGGCTAAATTCCTGTATGGCACTGACTTTGGTAAAGGCATAGCATGAAACATACTCATTAAAAGTGTTGTGAGGGCAATGAACACATGAAAAGATGCTCAACGTCACTAACCATTAGGAAAATGCAAATTAAAACCACAGTCAGAATCTCTTTCATACACTAGAATGGCTATTATCCAAAAACAGAAAACAAGTTGGCCTGGATATGGAAAAATTGGAACCCTTGTCCATTGCCAGTGGGAATGTAAAATGGTACAAGTCCTATGAAAAACAGTACGGTGGTTCCTCACAATATTGAACATAGAATTACCATTTGATCTACTAGTTCTACTTCTGGGTATATATCCAAAAGAAATTAAAGTAGGGGTTTGAAAAGCAGAATGTGCATAGCAGAATTATTCACAATACCTACAGACAGAAACAACCCAAATGTCCATCAAAACAAGAACAGATAAATAAAATGTAGCATATACATAAAATGGCATATTATTCAGCCTTAAAAAGAAGGGAAATTCTGATATATATACCACAGCATGGATAAATCCTGGAGACATTTTGCTTGATGAAATAAGTCAGAAATAGGGGCGCCTGGGTGGCTCAGTTGTTAAGCGTCTGCCTTTGACTCAGGTCATGATCCCAGGGTCCTGGGATCGAGCCCTGCATTGGGCTCCCTGCTCAGCGGGAAGCCTGCTTCTCCCTCTCCCGCTCCCCCTGCTTGTGTTCCCTCTCTCTCTGTCTCTCTCTGTCAAAAAAAAAAAAAAGAGAAGTCAGAAATAAAGTAACAAATATTGTATGACTCCACTTATATGAGGTGCCTAAAAAGTAGTCAAATTATAGACTCAGAAAATAAAATGGTGGTCAGCAGAGGCTAGAGGGAAGGAGAAATGGGAAGTTATTGTCTAACGGGTATAGAGTTTCAACATGGGATCATAAAGAAGTTCTGGAGGTTGCACAACAATGGGAATGTATTTAATGCCACTGAACTGTACACTTAAAAATGGCTAAAGTTTAAATTTTATGTTATATATATTTCACCACAATTAATGAAAAGTGTTACAAAGAATTTTGGGGCAGTTTGTACCAGGTTCTGAATACTGATAGCAGTGAGACTAATGGTTTATATTTGGTCTCTCTGTGAGCTCTCTGAAGGGCTTTGCTGTTGTACAGCAGGAATAAGCCAATATGACCAAAACCGCAAAAATCTCTAGCTGAGATTCCATTTTGGGTCCGTTTCCAACGTGTTCTGTGTGTCCATCTGTGGTTCCTTATCCATGAGAGGAAAAAGCATCCTGCCCGGCCCTTACTGAGGGAGGACAATGACAGCCTGCACCTGGCTTCTCTGAACCCTTCTGTGAGACAGCCATGGACTGTGACAGGTGTTCTTACTTTAATGCTGTTGCTGTACTATACCCCTTTCCTATAATAAATTACAGCTTTGTAAGCACTGTCATTTTGGGTCCCGAGTCTTCCTTAGCAATCAAACTGTGTTTAACTGCCACTATTGTTGTGGTTATTATTAGGAAAGGAAATACAATGAATTAATTTATGTTGCTCCAAGGAGAAACAACTAAGATCATGGATGAAAGATACAAGAAGGCAGATTTATCTTGCCTTGTAAGGTATTGAGCAAGTCTCTAGACATGTTCACTAAACATTAAAGTAGAAGGTAGATGCTCATCTACTGTAAGATTACTGCACTGGGTACCTCAAGGTACCCACCGAACCCTAAGAACTTAGATTTTTTAATTTGGAAAAACTTTTTCAATAGGAACCATACCTGTGATGTTAGCTTCCCAGCAATCTGCATTCGCTCAATTTCTGCAGGAGATTTGATCAGCCGGAGCCGCTGTACCAGCTGCTGGACAGCCCGAACTTTATTCTTGCTCCTGGCTTTGACCTCAGTCAGATGCTGCATGTAGTCTGAGTGAAGCTGTGCGTGAGAGGGCCTCATCCAGTCATACCAGACCATATTTGTCTCATCTTAAAATGAGCAGCAAAAAATAAATAAATAAAAATTAACAAGAAATACCAACTGTTATAATGACTTGAACAAGAGTGAAAACTGTAAAACCCGTGACATATAACTCTCTCAGGACTGAAGCAACTGAAGGGTTATGTATCACTGGAAAGGCTATTCCCTGCAAATGGCAAGATATTCTGACACCGAATATACAGCTTTTCTGCCCCCAAACTTCAGGGTTCCTTATAAAGATGGTAGATGGGACTAAAGCTTTTTCTCCAGCTTTGATTTCATTATTTATTAAAGAACTCCACACCACAACTGAGCTAGAGGCACTGTTGAATAACTAAACATAAGAGGAGTGAAAAAAATACTCAGATCTTGACCTCCTGGTTAAAAGTATTCTCTTCCTTTCCAATCTCAGTGTTAGTGAAAGGAGGTTCTTATCTCATTTAGGAGCAATTCTTCATGGCTATGGAAACACTCTAGTGGATAATGTGTGCTAACCCATCTGCCATATATTCTCATTAGACAACCACGTTCTCCTTTTAACTCTAGAGACCCAAGGAACTGGTCTCTATGTGCCTGAGATATAAGATGTGAAGGCCCATAATGAAAATGTTCCCACTTACACCACGTCTCCATTCGTCCCTTTCTTTTTTCCTGACGTGGCCTAAGAGCAGCATTCCCAACAACTGAAGTCTGAAGGTTGTATGTTTTATACAAAGTATTTGGGAAAGAAGAGGGGAAAAATCCTACAAATTTTGATTGGTTATATATTAGTGATACAACCTCCTAAATATTTTCATTTTAAAATAAAAATGGTTTTAAGTATATTATATGTCAAACGCTAATCTTATTTTTAATAGAAATTTAATTGTACTTTTAAAACAGTAAAACCACTTCTACTACCTGTTCTTAGGGTATGAAATCATAGCCCAACTTTTTTTGGTTTTTAAACTTTTAAATAAGCATGATTTCACGAATCTTTTCCTTTGCCTACTACTTTTATCTAGTAAACTACTAACATTAAGAATGGTGAATGAAAAGTACTTTTGAGAAATACATTTGGTGTAAGGCTTTATTTAACAGTACTAGGTTGATGAAATTTACACTGTTGAATAGGACAGCTAGCGACTAATTAAAAAAATAAAAAAGCTAAAAAAAATGATTCTGACTTTGTGAAGATATAAAAAAGTTCCACTAATTTAGCTGAGTAATTACCTCTGTAACATAGAGAATACTTGCATAAAGCAATGAAAACAATTCAAACATATTAGAACTTGCATATTCAAATGAGTTTTTTCTTTCAAAGGAGTCTTTGCAGGAAACAAGTCCAATAAATTCCATGATCACTGGAAACAATTTTGGAATTTTTTTTAGAAACTGACTTCAGAAATGATTTATAAACCATACAAGAAAATCAGACTATAATTTTACAACCATACATATTTTGTCTAAAATTAGTACTTTCCAACTTGATCAGCTATCTTATTTACCAAATTTGGCTCTAAGCGACTTTTGGACACTTCAAAAAATAAAATGCTTCCCAGAGCTGTAGATTTACAAGAATCACTAAAGATAGTTTATAATGTAGTGTAGGTTCTGAAAAGTTCCAGAAAAGGAATCCTAAAACATTATGAGTGATTATAATTTTACCAGAATAAACGTAGAGAAAAACGACCTTTTTGAGGGGCATGGACTCAACTGTGTACTATATGAATCACCTGAGAATCCTGTTTATAGTCAGATTCTGATCTAGTAGGTATGGAGTGGGCGCCTAAGATTTTACATTTTCAATTATCTATTATGTATTTGTAATTCTAATATGTGTCACCAGGTTATTCTGATGCTGGTGATGCACTGATCATCCTTTGAGAATACTGCTTCTTTCTAAAGAGTTGGCAGAAGTAATAAGCAGTGATCAGAGGCCAATAGACTGGTCAGTGATCTGGAAGAATGACCTATGCTCATTCTGCACTTTAAGTCTTGTGGAAAAGATTTATGATCCTTTCATGGTGCTCAAGGAAATGCCGCTACGATAATCATTTTAGAAAATTAAGAACTTTGTCTAAATAGGCAAGGAAGGTCTTAATCCAAAATCTGGACTGTGATTTGATTTGACTTCTGCTCCCATTTGTTACCTTTCAGTTTTGGTACTAGATGTTGAAATTCTTCCAGTGTATAGGCTTCGTCCACTCCCGTTAAAGCTATTGCTCCATCAGTGCCAGATCGTGGGCCATCCCAAAGTTCTCGACTAGGGTCTCTCCGAGGCACAAAAAGCATGGCCTTATGCGCTGGTAACTGCTTGCCAGGGAGGCTTTGAAGGACCAGAATGCTATCGGGCTCTTGGAATCCACACAGGTACAGGAAATTGTTGTCTTGGTGGAAAGTATAGGGGATATCATTGCTCATGTAGTATGTAGGGTTGGACAGGAGAACCACTGTCTGGTCTGTCCCACTCTGCCCTTCTGTTTCCTTGTGGATCAGAGACATTAGTTTGTGCCTGCGAAGTGCATATTCCAGTTGAGATAGTCCTGGCGTCACCTCTCCTAGAAATGACAAATAACAGTGATGCTTTGCATTTACATAGTGTCAAACTACTTTTAAGGTAGCTTAATATTAGATGAAGACACCCAAGATCATTTCTTCAATTTATGCCAAATCTCCTCATAGCACATGGGGAATTAAGGAGATGACCCAAGTTTCAAATTTTCTATTCCACTGCAAAAAGGTTGGAAGAAATGATAGTTAAATGCGTTCCTGCCGGAGAACTGGAATCATGACCCCATAAGAGCTCTTTCATTCTTTTACTCATTCAATCAAATCTTTATTGAACAAATCTTTATTATGTGGAAGGCATTGTTAGGCATATAATTAAGGTTGACCTGAAGTGTCAATAAAAGGTGAGAAGGATGACATTATCCGTGTATGACTTTCCTGAAAGAATGCAAGCTCCATGAGGACATAGATTTTTGTCTGTTTAATGTTATATTCCCAGAGCCTAGAATAACAACTGGAATGTAGTGGGCATTTGATAAATATTTGTAAAATGATGTATAGTTTTTAACATAATAGAGTTTAAGGCCAAAGAGCTTCCCCCAATTTCAAGAGTTAAAAATAAATTTTTCCTTCTGAATTTCTAGTGCATAATAGTACCTTTCTAATAGGACTTTTCACTCTCTACTTTGTATTAACAGTAGAGCTGGGTACACATAACTTCCTTGAGGGTTCCCTCCCTGAGGGAAAATCTTTTTATTTTCCAAGTGGGACCATCTTTGTACTTTCCAAAAACTCTAACAATATTATCTACCTCTTGGGGCTGTCATGAGAAGCAACCTTGATAAAGCATGTGGTTCTTAAGCAATGAAGACTCCCCAAAGAATCTTTAGAAGCTATGGATTCAGGGGCACCTGGGGGGCTCAGTTGGTTAAGCTTCTGACTCTTGATTTTGGCTCAGGACATGATCTCAGGGTCGTGAGATGGAGCCCTAGATGGGGTTCCATGCTCAGCAGGTAGTCTGCTTCTCTCCCTCTCCCTCTGCCCCTCCCCTTGCTTGGGCACATGCACCCTCTCTCTCAAATAAATAAATCTTAAAAAATAAATAAATAAAAGCTATAGATTCATTGTTTACTAAACTGCACGCAGGCACACACAAACTTTTTTGACATATATTTCAAGAGTTGTCTGATTCACCTAAGCCCACTCACAAACTCTTATTAGGAACCTGTGTTATGAAGTGTTACATATTAGTTCTCAATATTAGTACGCAGCACACTGCCTGGTTGCTAGCCCAGTGGTGACTGGGTGAGTGTTTCCCTTCTGTATTGGAAATTATGTGTGCTTTCACTTCAGGTTGCAAAATAAAAGAACTACTAAAACAATCACTCATGAAAGCTGTATCCCTCAGCCTACACCTAGCAATAATAATAGTAAAACACCACCTAATGCTTACTGAATGCTTCTTCTTTTTTTTTTTTTTAAGATTTTGTTATTTGACAGAGAGAGAGAGACAGCGAGAGAGGGAACACGAGCAGGGGGAGTGGGAGAGGGAGAAGCAGGCTTCCTGCTGAGCGGGGAGCCCAATGCGGGGCTCGATCCCAGGACCCTGGGATCATGACCTGAGCCGAAGGCAGATGCTTAACGACTGAGCCACCCAGGTGCCCCTTACTGAATGCTTCTTATGTGTCTGGTACTATTCTAATTACTTATAGGTATCAGCTCATTTAATCTTTACATTGACTTCGTGATGTGGATTACTATTATTTCCTGTAGTAGCCAGTCTCCACATCCAAGCATGGAAAGATAGCCATGAAATACTGCTGTATGAAAAAATTACAGTACAAGATGGGTAATATGATCCCAATTATTAAAATAAAACAAAACACAAAAACAAAGAGCAAAAAAATTAGAAAAAAAAACCAAAAACAATTTCTGGGGCACCTGGGTGGCTCAGTTGGTTAACTGTCTGCCTTTGGCTCAGGTCATGATCCTGGGGTCCTGGGATCGAGCCCTGCATCGGGCTCCTTGCTCAGTGAGGAGTCTGCTTCTCCCTCTCCCTCTGCCCCTTTCCCTGCTCATGAATGCATGTTCTCTCTCAAATAAATAAAATCTTTTTTAAAAACGGAAAGAACCCCAAATTTTATAGTGGTAATCTATGGGGATTGAGTTAAGACTGAGATTTTCTTTTTAACATGCTATATTTATTTAGAGAGAACATGTGCCAGTGGGAGGCAGAGGGCAAAGGGAGAGGGAGACAGAGAATCTTAAGCGGGCTCCACGCCCAGTGCTTGATTTCACATAGAGCTCAATTTCACAACCCTGAGATCATGACCTAAGCTGAAATCAAGTTGGTCACTTAACTGACTGAGCCACCCAGGTGTCCCTTTCTAACATCTTTTTATTATTATTTGAATTTTGTTTCAATGAGTATATACTCTCAAAATTAAAATCCCAAATAAAGAGAAAAAGAGAGATCATGGGCAGTCCATGTCATACTCATAACCTACAATGGTTCTTTGTTGTCCATTAGATCAAATTCAAACTCTTAAGTAGATTTTAATGCTCTCTACCAGGTGATTCCAATTTATCTGGTCAACTTTTAAAAAACAGCTTGAGATATTATTTACATAGCATACAATCCACCCACTTAAATGTACTATTTAATGGTTTTTGGTATAGTCACAGAATTGTACAAACATTACAAAAATCAACTTTAGAGTATTTCATCACTCCCAAAATAAACCCCTGCCCATTTCCTCCCAATCTGCCCAAGCCCTTGGCAACCACTAATCTATTTTCTGTCTCTATGGATTTGTCTATTGCAGAAATTTCATATAATGAAATCACATAATATATGGTCTTCAGTGATTTGGCCAACTTTTTTTAATCATTTCTCCAATTATTCTGAAATTAATTCCTTCTTATGTCTTACATAGGTCCAATCTGTTCTTTCCCTATTACCCTGCTGACAATGTATCCCTTTTCCAAAATCTCTTCTCCCTCCACAGCAATTCCATTCCCAAGATTTCAGGCTCAACGCATGTTTGTTTTTAGACTCCTCTTATTCAAAGGGCTTTCCTGATGAGCCCAGGTCACGTTAATTTGTCCCTCTTATTTTTTTTAAGTTAATTGTTTCATTTTCTTACATATACATCCTATAGTTGTGTATAAAGGTAATCACATCATACTGAACTCTTTCAATAAATATTTTCCCCCTTTTCCTTTGCTGTTTGATTCGTCACTTCCCTTCCCTCCTTCTACCCACATGAATACCTCACCCACACTGGTAATCTAGCATGTATCCTTTCCTATTTTTCTCAATACTCATATACTTGCATTTAGGGTTTTTTGGTTACTAGTGTTTTACAAACATGGGATACTACACATTCTTCTGTATCCTGCTTTTCTATCACAGTGACACCTCATAGAAATCCCTCCCACCAAGTCATCTTGCATAGCTTCAATTCATTCCGCTTGATGTCTCCGTATATTTCTTGGGGTGATGTATCATAACTTACTGGTCCATTTCTATACTGGTGGGCATGTATATTATTTTCAGCTTTTTGCTGTAATAATAAAGATCTTTGTACTTATCCTGGTACCTTTATGCCTTATGTACTGGTGCTTTCTATGGGATAGTCCCAGGACAGACATTGCTGGGTCAAAGACCTTTGAATTTTCTTAGTACTCATGTTCAGTACATGAAACTCAGTTGTTTATGATTACCTTGGAAGAGTCTAGTTGTTTTACCTATGTATAGTTTATCTCTCCAGCAAACTCTATAGCTTGCATTTCATTAATAAAATAAATTAACTTTTATTTATATATAAGAGAAAAAAAAATCCACATTTTTATTGATGAAGTTGGTAAGAAATAAAAGGTAAGTAAGCCAACAGAGTCAGTCCTGGAAGAGCTCACATTGCATTCCCCACCCCCCCACCCCGGGATTGAACTGGCTAAGAGTCCTCTAGGGTTCTTGGGCAGAATACTGAACTTTGTACCAGAGCCCAGGAAAAGCTTAACTATTTATCTCTGATAATTATTCATGTTAAGTCTGCCACTGTTACCCAACATTGGACATTTCCCAATGTACCCAAGCAGTAAATACCCTCTTATAAAAGCAGAGGCTGGTTGTAACTGGTGGATCATCCAACCTTTCCTTTTTGTCTTCTCTTTTCTCCCTTTCCTGTGCTTTGCTTTGGTTTCCTCACAGCTATAGTCCATGTAATAAAACTAAATTACAAATCAGTTCATTCTGTGTTTGTTTTTAATTTTGGGAAATAAGAAAATTCACAATTTTAATGACCTTAATATATGTGTTCTCTCCTGTTCTCATTAATAACAAAGCATATACAGAGATATATTGTAAAGAAACTTCTGAAAAAAGATACAACTATTTGGAAATCAAAACAGGATTGGAAAACTATCTTTTACTCCCTTCAAGATACTCCTCTACCTCCTCAATCCAATTTCATACAAATGACTACATGAGAAACATTTAAAACACTGGCTACCTTTTCCTAAACTTACGAATCATCAACGCTATAGAGTGGACCATTAACTAAATGCTTCCAAACTTCTGAAATCTCAAAGTAACAAAGAACTCTTTGGTCATGACAAAAAATTATCCAAGGAAAAAAAGACATCTTTTCTTATCATTTGAAGGAGGAAATAAAAAAGGTGTTATAAAGTAATGAACTTAAACCCTAGAGATAAACCTGGCAGTTGTTATGGCCTTTGATCATAAAACTAACCATTGTAATGGTCAATCTGGCCTGAATTTCTCCAATAAAACCGTGTCTGAATAGACATCCTGGTAACTTTGTCACACTGTAATGTAGTAAGGAACAAAGTTAGTATTTTATCATGTGGAATCAGTTAAGGATAGAGGGGCTATTCTAACAAGCTTCTTTACCAATCAAATGCCTACATGTCACAATCTGGACTCTGCAAATAGCAAAGTCTCACAATCAATTCTGAGACTCTACAGCTAAGAGGAAGAGCTCTTTTAGGACATTCAGGATTGCTCTTCTCAAGAGAATAAGAAAAA